TGTTTATAGTTTGTAAAATGCCAGGAAAATATTATTTGGTGGACTCCGGATATGCCAAACAACCGGGTTTCTTAGCTCCCTACAGGGCCAACGATACAACTTCTAAGAGTACCATACTTGTCTTTGCGAAATATCATTGAACGTTATTTTGGGATGCTTAAGATGATATTCCCCATCTTGAAGCAAATGCCCCCATATAAGTTTGAAGCTCAGGTTGTTATTGTTTTAGCCTGCTGCACACTTCACAACTTTATAAAAAAGGAGGCGCATGTAGATGCAACTGTGAAGGCGATGATAGATAAACTATTTGAAGATGGTAATGATGATGTTCAGGCTAATGTGTCACTATCTCGGTCATGACCAATGGATATTTTACGTGATCATATTGCTAATAATATATAGAATGCAATTCAGCACCCTTGAAATTGCATTTAGATGTTTATCATGTTTGGATAACTGTAATAACTACTTTATTATAATTATTTGTTAGTATTTGGAGAACTGTAATAACTACTTTATTTTAACTATTTGTTAGAATTTGGATAATTGTAATAAGTTATGGTAACTATATTTTGCACATTTCTTTATGATTTAGATAACTATAATAACTTGTATATGCAGTCATGTAAAAGATACAAGGTGACAAGCCACTTTATGCATGTGGAAGGGGTCAAATGAATCTTTATACGGTTGGAACTTCAAAGAATTATGGACGTTCATTCTATAAATGTCCAGCTTGGGGGGTTTACAATTTTCTTTGCATTAATAATTTTTTTTACGTACATCTTATTGTCACAGGGACATTATAATAATATACAAGTCTTTGATGTTTTAGTCACATACTCGTGCATTTATATGGTTGGATGACATGCACCAACGTCTGCAAGTGGGTGGCCATGTGGAGCAAGAGTTGGAGGATGTAGTTGCTATTATGCAAGCTCAACAAAATCGGCAAAACTACATTATCTATGGTTGCTGTTGTTGTCTTACTATAACTATATTATTTACGTTATTCCTTATGTTGTTGTTATCGGTTATTGTGGCTGTTGATAAATGATGTAATATATTAGTTCAATTTTACTTGATGAACTTTATTGTGCCTGTTGACGAATGATGTAATATTTATGAAACTCGTGTCTGTAATATTTTTAAACTCATGTAATGTGTAATATGTTGAAAGTTTATTTCAGTTCGATAGTGAAACAATGTTTTCTACAACTGTTAAAACAATATACAGCATTCATAGGTTTTACAATTTAGAATATATTTTATTGGTTTTTATAATAAACTAAGATAAACTTTTAACAATACATATATTAAAATTTAAATTAATTGTATACTAAAATTATACAATAATTAAATTTGACTTTATATTTAATAAAGTTATAAATAATGTATTGATGAAAACATTATTTAAAAACACTCTTTACCAAACATATTTCATATTTTTATTTTACTTATTTTGGTTACACTTTCACTCTGTCAAATATGTTTTGTTCTCATATTTCTTGGAACGAAATACCTTGCCAAACATGTTCTACCATGTTTCTGTTCCAAAATTCTCACCGCAAATTTTCATCGCCAAACATGTTTTGTTCTCATTTCAGGACACCACATTACAAAACACTTGTTTTGTTCTAGGCTAAAACAAAACACAACACTTAGTTCATTAAAATGCATTTGAAGTGGTCTTAAAATTTGATTATACAAAATATCACATTCTTTGAGAAGTGATAGCATTAGGAAAATGTATATTTTATACTCATCTAATTACAACTGCATTACACTTCCGAGTCTGTACATTACAAAATTCATATCATTATTGTTATATATCCTACTTGATACATTACATAAGCCAGAATGAGTTCTTTCTATGATCTTTCTATACTTAATTAGTTTTCTGCTGAGATAATGAGTCCTCTATATATTAAGAAGATGATGACTCAGGTGGATAAGGTTGATAGCTGTTACAACTCACTATCTGACTTTTTTTGAGGTTTTACGTTGCTGATGAAAAGGGAGCCTCTCTCTCTCTCTCTCTTTAGTATTTTGGCGGCATTAAAGATATGACATAAGGGCCCTAGTGAGTTCAAATTCTGCTTTAGCACAGAGAGGACTATAAAGACATTCTCCAATGATTGGAGCACTCTAGAACTAATGACACATGGCAGAGCACGTGAGTGTAAACCTGGGCTTACAAACACAAAGATTAAAATGCCCTTGAAGGGCTGTTAGTGCATACTTGCTTATGTAATGTATCAAGTAGGATATGTAATAGTGATGCTATGAATTCTATAATGTAAGGACTCAGAAGTGTAATGCAGTTATAATTAGATGAGTATAAACTATACATTTTCCTAATGCTATCATTTCTCAAAGAATGTGACATTTTGTATAATCAAATTTTAAGACCACTTCAAATGCATTGTAATGAACTATGTATCAAGCATTCAAGTCCACTGAAATGAGCATTGTAATGAAGTAACTTCAGATACACTATAATTAGCAATGTAAAAATCAAAATTCACACATGATTAAGCCCTTTTGCACTTGACATTAAAACAGCAAACAAAGCCTACACGAGGCAAAGATCAACAATTACAGTATCAGTTGAGACCTCTTCAGTTAGACTCACTCCTAGGCTATCTAATAAAATATTTTTTTCTTAGAATCAAAATTAGGGTACTGAAAAAACTTAACTCCATTTTTACTTAATTGTTTGATCCACCGGTGGAAAAGTTTTGAAGTGTTGGGAATTGATGAAACTACAACTTTAGGGTATATTTGGAGCTTTTGGGACTCCTTGTTGCCAATCGAGACACAAACCAAGGGTCCGATAATCCTAATCGATCCCAATTTGTGGGAAATATCACAATCTGGTGGCGGAACCTAACTTAGAATGATTAGGAGCAACAAAATCCACCTTTAGGGTGAACATAGAGCCTTTGGGATACAGATTGATGGACTTTATGAAGTCAAAATATGATAGAAAATAGTGGAAGTAAGATTATATTGCTAGATGGGATACTGTCTTTGGGCATGCACCACCACCGAAGATTATTGCTGGAGGACAGAAGGAAGACCACATGCCACCGGAGCACATCAATTATATCCAGTATCCCAAGTCAATGAATCTTTTTTCAAATTCAAATGAGAGGTTAGTTCTTTTCCCGGTCTTGGGGGATTTGACCTGCACTTTACCTGCCATGACAGTGCACCCTAACCTAAGTACTAATGTATCAAGTCCAGCCAACAGCCTATCCTTTTCATTCCATTATAACCAGACAAGTTCCATGCCCCAAAGAACCCAACTAAGGGAAAATTATGACCAAGCAACCAAGTTTAACCTCAGTGAAAAACCATCATCTCTTCCATCACAACCAAACCAATTGGACCCCCCTACCAACCCGAACCTTATCCCTATTCCAACCATCCAAAACACATCCCAACCAAATATTACCTCTAACCCCATTTCACTATCTGTTTGTCACCCTAATCTAAACACCACCTCAACCACTGTCCCTAACTAACCTGAACCCACTCCAAAGACAACCACACAAGCTTCTCACCATAACCATGCTATCTCATCTCCCACTTGGGACTCTATTGTTAAAAAGCCAAAATGCACCCCATTGCAATTCATTCAACAAGCTGACAGTTCAAACACTATCATCTCTTCACCTTCTGATATTGAAAATGCCGGAATCCAACTAATAAGAACTAGCCTTCTTGGCTACTTTGTCCATAAATGCCTTCCATTTAGTATGGTTAAGGATTTATGCACTGACCTCTGGGTAAAAAAGGGTCTTATAAAAGTCACAAGCTTAGAGAAGGTCTCTTTGAGTTCCATTTCTCATCCATTGACCAATGTAACCAAGTTCTTACTAAATGGCCATGGTTTCTTTTTAACAAACCCCTGATTCTCCACCTCTGGGAACCAAATTTCCAAAAATATCAACACTCCTCCATTCCAATTTAGGTAAACTCTATGGTTTGCCACTGCATTACTGGACATGCTGGTTTAAGCTACATTGCAAGTAACATTGGTCAACCCCTCTTTGCTGATTCTTACATTGAATCTAGGCAAAAAACAAGGTTTGCAAAAGTTTGTATCAATGTCAAAACCTCTGATGACTTCCCTTCCACTCTTAAACTACACATGAGCAATGGAAAAATGCCTAATGTCAATGTGGAATACATAAACTGCCCTGTAATTTGTTATACCTGTATGAATTTTGGCCATACTTGTCATAACTCTTATCAACAGCTTCACTCTTCCAAATCTAAACATCCCTCTCCAAGTAAGGATTAACAAGCCATAACCCCCAAGAAAGTGACCATGTTCACTCAAACCCTACCCCCTAAATCAAATTTTCTCCCACCTTTACCCAATATTCCCCTTCACTCATGCCAAAATGTGATCACTCACTATGTGACAAGCTAGATTTTTTTTAGATTATAATTTTTTTCATTATATTTTTGGCTGTCATAATCAATTATTTAATTATGGTTGAAGATTTACCCACTTAAGATATTTAATGGGTTTTGATATGATCTGATTTTTATATGTGACATATTATATATATATATATATATATGTATGTATGTAGCAGCTGAAGGTGTATTGGTGGCTGCCGAAAATTAGAAGGTAAGAAAGAGATTGTTTGTCTATTGGTGATGTTATTTTCATGGGGCTCACTAGAGAGATATCTAAGGATTTAAGTTTTGTGCAAGCATATGATATATATATATGTATATATCTCGTCTATTGGAGAATGAAGAAGAGAGCAACAAAATTGAAAAGAGAAAAGTGATGGTGATGATTTGATAGGTCCTACTTGAATGATATTTTAATGGGATTTGAAAAGTATGTGCATATATATATATGATATATATATATATATATATGTTTTGTCTAATAAAAGGTGCAATAGCAGGTGGACGAAATTGAAGAGATAATGGAATAAAGAAATTGTAATGATATAGTGGGACCCATGGCTTAGATATTTGTTTGGCCAAAAATTCTTTGGCTTTGGCTTTTTGCATGTGGTGTTATCTTTTGGGTGAGCAGATTCAGATTTTGTATCGGTAGAGGCCTTTCTATATATCGGTATTTGTTTTATGACCTTGGTGTGAGTATTCGGTAAGAGAAAATTTTGATGAAAGACAAAGAGAGTTTTGGGGACAGAGACATAGAGCCGAGAGGATGGAGATTTGATATTCTAGTGATTTATTTTTTTTACAGTGGATTTAGACTTTGCCACATATGGCAAAATTGAAGAGCTCGTCGTGGACTTTATATTGATCGGAGTAATTTTCAGTTTGGAGCACTTGGGATTTCGAATTTTTTGGGCAGAATTGGGCATTTTTCTTCTCATTGAGGTAGGGGTGTTCTAATTCACAATTTCTTTAATTCTTTGTGAATTTTCCTTTCTAAAGTTGGCTATAAGCATGCTTAGTTTTGGTTATTTTAAATATGGTGATTGTATTTAGTTGTGTTCATGATGATAAGTGGTGTGGTGTGTTAATTGAGCCTATGAACATAATTAATTTGTTGTGATGAAAAGCATGCTCAATAATAAAAAGTTATATGTAAAATGTTTACGAATTGCTATGTAAATTTGGGATTATAGGTTGTGTAAATAAATGTTTAGAATTTCTTCTCAAAATGTGAATATGATGTTGATGGAATGTGTAGAATTTAATTGTGTGGAAATTCATGTTTTAAACTCGCTTAAATGATGTGGATGATATTTATGACATTTTTATATTGTCATGGCATTGAAGAAATTACATAATTCATGCATTGTCATTGGGAAAGTAAAGGGAAAAGTTTGTTTTAAAAACAAATGAAAATTATTTTTGGGAAATTTTTTTAAAAAGTGTTTACGAAAATCGGACGCCTAGGAGGTGCCTGGTGGTCCGTGGTGTTAGTGTAGTCTAGAGGGGATTAAGGAGAGACCCTAGCATGGTTGAGCTAACTAGGCCAGATACGACGCCTTGGAGGTGCCTTATGGTTGTGGATGGTTAGCCAATCCTCCTTTCGTGATGCCTTGGAGGTGCCTTGGGTCGGATTAGGCTAACGGTTTGGAAGGTGAAACGGTAGTGTTTCGGAAATGGGGAGCGACATTGCATGGCTTGCCATTTCATTGACATACATTGCACACTTGGTGATTGGACGACTTGCGTGTGTATTTGTTGGTGTTATCATTATTTTGCTTGTTTTCCTCGAGATATGATCCCGTTCTCTCATATCTTATTCGTTGTATGGATTCACAGTGTCGTAAAAGGTGTGTCTTAGATGCTTTCTACTGAGCTTTATGCTCACCCCATCATTTTAACATTTTTCAGGTCACGGGAAGGAAGTGGCGGACGACATTCCTCCATAGGTTTGAATGGGTTAGTGGACTATTTTATCATCTTTTATATTTATGATCTTACTTGTTTTGTTTAAACCGTGGGATGACACGTATATTATGCATTAACATAGGAAAGGTTGGTAGTCTCCATAATTGACCTTGGGTTCGGGTAAGGACCCGGTTAGTGATTCGGACCCTCGGGTTCGAGTCGTTACAAATATGGTATCAGAGCGATGGTTCGAATATCATTAGGACGAAGGGTAGAGGCCAACCTAGGATTGTGTGGGAAGTTGAATTGCATGTTTATATGCTTCTGTATTAAGGTGTTTAATTGTTTGAAAAACATGTATAACTGATTATTTGCTTTATATACTTGTGTGTTTATCGTTTTAAAAGGGCATGTTTTCTTGATAAGTGTTCACATGTTTACGTGTTTACATGCAAAAATTTGTGTTACATGGCCATGTATGTGGTATAATTGTATGAACCAACTAAGTAAATGAAATGTGAAAGTATTTGAAAGCATGTTATATATGATAAAGTGGAAAGTATGTGATACATGACGATGACAAGTAATAGGCACGGTTGGTGCAATTTTCTTTTATGATTAAGTGACAAGTAATGAACATGGTATTGTGGGTTTCATTTATTTTGTATATGTGTATATCTTTATTCTTATATATTTATGCAGTTGAGCATTGGGGTGGTTGCTAGTATGGCAGAGTACTTGTCACGGCATTGAAGGTTGTGTAAGTTTTCATCTGAGTAGGAAAGGAGCTCGGTTACTCCAGGGTTGTTGGGTACTAATTCTTATAGAACTACAAGTGTTGACTTCTAGCTCTTGGATTGAGCTATTTGGTGTGTATTCATTTCGATCTTCTTATTGCAATTTGTGCGGTTCTTAGAGCACGACTTTAGAAGGAGTTCATATTTCATGGCATGGTGTCTATGTTGTGTGTGAGTTTCATGTATCATTGTGTGGGTTCTTATAAACGTAGAGGCCAAGTGCACGAGAGAGGGTTTCGTTAGAGAAAAGTATAACCTTAAGAGGTTAGTGTCTGCGACTTGGGTCATGATTAAGTACTAAGGTTCTCTTCGAACCAATTTGTGGTGGGTGTGATAGAGATTGTTTGAGTCATTAATGTAGTCTACGGGTTGTAGAGGTGTATTTCGGGTATTCTGGTGCAGTCTAAGGAAACGTGTTGGTTATGATTGTTCAGGGGACCTACAGGAGTGTGTTGCGGGTAATTAACTCTCGGTGAGTCGATTGTATGGCTCGGTTGATGTTTAGGGCAAGAGATTGGCACAATTATCGAGAGAGTCTCGAGGTGATGTATAGTGGTAAGTTTTAGCCGTGTAGTGCAAGATTGCATAATAAGTCAAGTAATATGTGGTCATCGGTATGTTTGGTCGTCTACGGATGAGGTGATAGAGGGTAAGTACTGTGTTACCGTGCGCAATGTGTTTTAGAAATTGAAAGTTATGGACTGGAGTTGAATTTCATGCTACGTCTCGGGTAGGAAGAGATAGTGTTGGTTGTTTGAGGATCCAAAGAAATGGACTGTCGATTGGAATGATTGGGACGAGGGTGATCCCGTAGGTTTAGTTAGTAGCCCCATTAGACTTTTGTTGGGGGCAAGGGTATTCTGAGGAATGGTGAAGAGGGGAATGGATGATGTTTAGCCTAAAGTGTGAAGTTTTCTTGTTTAGGCACGTAGGTTATCTTGGGAAGAATGGTCGAAGTGACCAATTAAGTGTTATTGGGATTTGTCGACATGGTATTGCTATATAGAGATTTTTTTCTGGTGGCAAGTAGTGGTTGTTGTGGGAGGTATCGAGAGTAATGTTTATTCTTTTGTTATGATGGTGTCATCTTAGGGATGTTTAAGGAAGAATTGCTTGGTTGTGGCTTAGTGATCTGGTACGATGAGAGGTTTGAGTTGTCATTCGGCAAGAATGATAGTGGAAGCGTTATGACGTGATGTTTAGTATTGATGAGCAGAATGGTTTAAGGTATGATCCGAGGGTGGATTAGGGAGTATAAATTGTTTGTTGTGTGTTGTCAGGTAGGTGATGGGATTGTGCACCAGTCTAGCTGATTGTGGGCTGTTTAGTCTTTTAGAGTTAGTGAGGACGATGTTGCAGGACGATGTTGCTAGATAGGCACCTTTTTTTTTTTTTTTATGAGTAATGGGTTGCTGTGACTAAGGTCACGGGTCTTGTGTGCATGGTCTTTGAAAGAGTGTCGCTTAAAAAGGTAGAGATGGAATGGGTGATCATGTGTCGTTGTATAGCATAGAGGTTATCATTTGGGGGTGACTAATTCTAGGTAGAACGGGATGCGATGTCCAACTTACTGTGATCGTTCCAAGTATTAGTGCACTGTGAGCATTGACGCTCTTATCTGATGGTCATGTTGTGAACTATATCCTAGTACTCGACGAATGGGTGGTATGAATCCGATTTGTTTTGATTAGCATGAGTTTCGCGGTGTAGCGTATACGAGGTTCCGGTGTTAATATTGTGCAACGGTCTGTTAGTGGAAAAATTACCTAGATTTAGGTTCGTAGTTTATATGGGTATCCAGTTGGCTCTTCTCCTTGTATGTAAGGAGTTCAGTTCATCTCGGATGAGATTAGACGTCTACGGTTGGACGATTGGTGAGCAGCATGTGACAGGGTGTCAGGTGCAGTTAGGTACAAGTAATCAGTCTCTTATGAGAGCGGGGTTCGTTACCCTTTCCGTTTGTTCTAGTCCTGACAAAAACGTTGTTTGTTGTAAGTCTTGTTCTCTATTTAGGAGTTGTGCGTGTCTGCGGATGGATAAACCTATGGATGGTTTCTTACGCTGTTAGAGTTCACCGATAAATGTTTGGTTGTATGGGTCGACTTACTCCCACGAAGGGAGGTGGAGTCTTTGGTTTTAATGGTGTTTATTCTAAAAGTGGTTTTGACTAGTGGCGTATGAGACACGAGTTGTCAAATAAGGATTGTATGTTTCTAGTGTCTAGTACTAGTGGTGATGGCTAGGGGATGTGTTGTGAATGGTAAATTCGAGGATGGTTAGGTGATGTGATGAGAGTCATGTACTTAGATATTTTTATAGATGTTTGATTTGACCAGTGTTTTGAGGACTAGTGTCGGTATCGTCTCAGGATTATATGATTTGAAATGTGAGTGTATGATTCCTTTGAGGAGTAATCATAGTAATTTACTCTGGTTTCGAGATTTCAGGCATGAGATAGCCTTATGAAGTATTTTAATGAGACAAGAATTGGATTGAATGATATCATGGGGTTCATTTCTAGTACTGGTTGTTAGAAGCGGACTGGAAAGCTTTTAGGCTGGTCGATGATTGTGGTAATTGATGTTATGTTGCTTTTAGCTCTTTATGAGTTGTATGATTGAGGCATAATTGTGATTTTTAGAGTAGATATGTGACTGTATAGTTGTTAAGGATTATGTAGAGTGATGGATTATTAGTGAGTGGATCTCATGGTTGTTTTGTGGACTGTATGTGATTGTGTTTGAGGTTTGGACCTGAGGACAGGAACGATGATTGTGTTGAGACCGGATCGATGATGAGAATGGCCTGGACAACCATTTTTCCTGAATCAATCCCTCTTTAGCACGATGTCAGGTCAAAGGTTAATGATTGTTTCAACTTGTTAGCGATATGAGAGTAAGGTGTTGTGTGTTATGTCAGTATGATAGTGTGGATCTAGTTTGGGAAAGACCTTCATTTGAGATAATGGAATTTTATAAATTCAGATGATTTATCTTGAGTGACGATGTGTGTTAGGTAGGACCAAGTGTCTTATAGAGGGTTATGGTTTGAGAATTTAATTATCGAAGATCTCTTTTTGAGGATTTAGGTCCTGGGTACAGGACAATACGTTTTATTGTTTTGGTGGCTCATGATTATGTAGTCATTGGGAGATTTGTTATTAAGCCATCTTGTAGTTGTTTAATATGATGATTGTAGTATAGTGCGGTTGGTAGTTGCTGGTGCAATTATGCGATAGTGTAGCTATGCAGTAGATAACGAGTGCTTGGTCTGATAGGGATGTGTAGATTTGAGTTTAAGCTTGATTGTGCGACGGACGAGATTCTTTGTCTGGGGTTTTGTGTATCCTTTAAGGGAAAATTTGGGATTGGATGTTTTCGGATATGCGGAAACCGTTGGATCTGAATTTCGGGACAAAATTCTTCTTAAGTGGTGGAGATTATGACAACCCGGATTTTTTTTAGATCATAATTTTTTTCATTATATTTTTGGTTGTCATAAATAATTGTTTAATCATAGCTGGAGATTTACCCACTTAAGATATTTAATGGGTTTTGATACGATTTGATTTTTATGTGTAACATATTATATATATATATATATGTAGCAGCTGAAGGTGTATTGGTGGCTACCGAAAATTTGAAAGTAAGAAGAAGATTGTTTGTCTATAATGTGATGTTATTTTCATAGGGCCCATTAGAGAGATATTTAAGGATTTAAGTTTTGTGCATGCATATGATATATATATGTATATATCTTGTCTGTTGGAGAATGAAGAAGGGAGCAGCGAAATTGAAAAGAGAAAAGTGATGGTGATGATTTGTTGGTTCCCACTTGAATGATAATTTAATGGGATTTGAAAAGTATGTGCATATATATATATGTTTTTTTTTTTAATAAAATGAGCTATAATAGGTGGACGAAATGAAGAGATAATGGAATAAAGAAATTGAAATGATATGGTGGGACCCACGGCTTAGATATTTGTTTGGCCAAAATTTCTTTGGCTTTGGCTTTTTGCACGTGGTGTTATCTTTTGGGTGAGCAGATCAGATTTTGTGTCAGTAGAGGCCTTTATATATATCAATATTTGTTTTGTGACCTTGGTGTGAGTATTCAGTAAAAGAAAATTTTGATGAAAGACAAAGAGAGTTTTGAGGACAGAGACACAGAGCCAAGAGCATGGAGATTTGATATTCCAATGATTTATTTTTTTACAGTGGATTTAGACTTTGCCACTTAAGGCAAACTTGAAGAGCTCGTTGTGGACTTTGTATTAATCGGAGCAATTTTTAGTTTGGAGCACTTGCGATTTCAAATTTTTTGGGCTGAACTGGGCATTTTCTTCTTATTGAGTTAGGGGTGTTCTAATTCACAATTTCTTTGATTCTTTGTGAAATTTTCTTTCTAAAGTTCGTTATAAGCATGCTTAGTTTTGTTTATTTTAAATATGGTGATTGTATGTAGTTGTGTTCATGATGATAAGTGGTGTGGTGAGTTAATGGAGCCTATGAACTTAATTAATTTGTTATGATGAAAAACATGCCCAATAATAACAAGTTGTATGTAAAATGTTTGCCAATTGCTATGTAAATTTGGGATTATTAGTTGTACAAATAAATGTTTAGAATTTCTTCTCAAAATGCGAATATGACATTGATGGAATGTTTAGAATTTAATTGTTGGATTTGGGAATTTAAAGTATGTAAAATGCCATGATTCAGAAATATGAGAATGCGATATTGTGTGGAAATTCATGTTTTAAACATGCTTAAATGATGTGGATGATATGTATGACATTTCTATATTTTCATCACATTGAAGAAATTGCATAATTCATGCATTGCCATTGGGAAAGTAAAGGGAAAAGTTTGTTTTAAAAATAAATGAAAATTATTTTTGGCAAAAGTTTTTGAAAAATGTTTGCAAAAACTGGACGCCTAGGAGGTGCCTAGTGGTCCGTGGTGTTAGTGTGTTCTAGAGGGGACTAGGGAGAGACCCTAGCGTGGTTTAGCTAACTAGGCCGGATATGACGCCTTGGAGGTGCCTTATGGTCTTGGATAGTTAGCCAATCCTCCTTTTGTGACACCTTAGAGGTGCCCTGGGTTGGATTACGCTAATAGTTTGGAAGATGAAACGATAGTGTTTCAAAAATGAGGAGCGACATTGCATGGCATGGCATTTCATTGACATACTTTGCACACTTGGTGATTGGATGACTTGCGTGTGTATTTGTTGATATTATCGTTGTTTTGCTTGTTTTCCCCGAGATATGATCCTGTTCTCTCGTATCCTATTCATTGTATGGATTCATGGGGTCGTAAGAGATATGTCTTAGATGCTTCCTACTAAGCTTTATTCTCACCCCATGATTTTAACATTTTTTAGGTCATGGGAAGGAAGTGGTGGACGACGTTCCTCCATAGGTTTGAATGGGTTAGTGGACTATTTTATCATCTTTTATATTTTTGATCTCATTTGTTTTGTATAAACCCTTGGATGACACGTATATTATGTATTAACATAGGAAAGGACGGTAGTGTCTTTAGTTGACATTGGGTTCTGGTAAGGACTCGGTTAGCAATTCAAACCCTTTGGTTTGGGTCGATAGACACTACTTCAAGCCCAATGACAATTTCACCATTGACCTCAACCCTTACAAACTTACACTTTTGGATAACACTGAACCCTCTAGAACAAATTCAACACTTGCGATAATCGCCAAATATTACATATTCAAGCGCCCTTATTTGCATTAGTTAAGTTCATTAGTTGATCATATTGTGCATATTAGCTTCATTTGCGTGGTTTTGTTTACTTTCAGGTTGGTTCCCCAAAAATAGTTAAAAGTGCGGCTTTATTGAGTTTGTGAAGAATCAAAGCACACCGTTGCCTAGACCCTTCATTTTTGCCTAAGCCAGTGTTCCATTGAACTCCTGGTTATCCCTGGAAAAAGCATTAGCCGCGATCAACGCGTCAACGGACAGAGCCAAAAGCAGCCTGGCAGCAGTGAAGTTCGACTTTGTTCTTCATTTTTGACCCGCAACACTCCTATTAAAACATGACATACTTATATCTTTGAGTTAGCTTTCCAAATCATCAAACGGTTTGTTATTTAGAGTTCATAACATAGAGTTATGGCTTTTTTACCAAAAGTAGCCTGGCAACAGTGAAGTTTTGACTTTGTTTTTCATTTTCATACAACACACTTAAGAATTGGACTCCCATTAAAACATAACATACCTAGAACTTTGAGTTAGCTTTCTAAATCATCAAACGGTTCATCATTTGGAGTTCGGAGCAGAGAGTTATGGCCTTTTTACCAAAGGTGAGTAGAGCTAAGGACAACCTGCGGGCGCCCGCAAGAAAGCTGCAGGCACCTGCCAAAATGGGCAGCTGGCTCGTGAAGCCGCGGGCGCCGGCCAATTTTGGTAGTAGCTTTGTCACAGCACGAGCGCCCACCAATTTACAGAGATCTGCTCACCCACTCCATGATTTTGCTCAAAGTTGTCCCCTTTGACTGAATGAATGGCTAGGCTTCCTTTTAGGGATTTCTGAGCCACGAATTGGGGGAGATAGATAAGATTTTTAGGATATATTTGGTGGCTTGTATCATGTAATGGGGGACATCTCACAATTTGTAAGGTTTTAGAGAGAAAAAGAGGTGTTCTTGAGAGTTTTGGGTTGAAGCTTCCCTCTAGGTGCCATCACAACTCCTTCCTCCATTGCTTCTATGGATAACTAACTCCATTTCTAGGGAGATGATGAAACCCTCCCTTGTCCTCTTAATTTCTTACAATTTATGGTTTTATGTAATCTTTAATTCAAAGTCACCAAGTGACAAACCAAACAAAAACTCTTCACCTCTTTCATCAAACTAAAAGTAATTTTACAATCTTGGTTGCCATAAACTAGCAATCCCAGTGGTTCGACTTACCCATCCAATACCCTTATTTTACAATGATTTGTGCTATTGCAAATGGTTGATTATTATAAATTATGATAGTCGACAAAGACCGATCAATTTTTGGCGTCGTTACCAGGGATTGCAAACGATTTTGTAACCGAGGTTCAAAGATTAACTTTGGTTTAATTGTGAATATTGTGTCTTGTGAATATTTTCTTGTTGGTTTTGGTGGCAATGTGTTCTAAGTTTTCTTGTGAGATTCTAGGGACAGAAGGCTTGCCAAGGGAAAACTAAAAATATTATAAGTCTAGAGGACTTCAGGTAAGTTTTGGAAGTTCTAGTTTCAAAAATTGTGAATATCTTGCATGTGGTTAAATTAGAGATATTTAATTATGGAACCCTTGTCGAGGCTAATCTGTTTACCGTTTTACAAAGCATCGGTCCTTGTCGTGGCCATTTCTTTTCTGTCTTGTTGATAATTGAGGAGAACGGGAACATCGTATGTGGAGGTTACGGTGAAGAATTGTTGTGCTTGTTGTGAAGTGTGTTGTTGATGTTTGGCCATAGGTTATTGTCTTTACCAACTCTTGAATCTCCCATTTACATAAATTCGCTTGAAAGAACTCTTAGAAGAAACCTTAAGGAATCTATAAACATAAGAGGAATTGAACTTGAATTTAATACAATGGCTGGTAATGAAGAAAATGTTGGGAATGAGGGAATCAATAATGATAGGGCTGAAATTCCAAATGTAGTTCCTATGACTCTTAGGGACCATTTCATCCCTATAACTTATACCTCTCCTTCTTGCATATGATGCCAAACATCGAGATAGCCCAATATGAGATCAAATCTAGCACAATTAAAATGCTTATATCCTTTCATGGCTTTGAAAATGAAGACCCCTATAAGCATCTGGATGAATTCCTTGAAATATGTTCTACCATCAAGCTTAGGGGCTTCCCTGAAAATGCTCTCCATTTGCATCTCTTCCCATTCGCCTTAAAAGATAGGGCGAAATATTTGTTGAACTCCCTTGCTCCAAACTCCATCACTACATGGGCTCAATTGCAACAAGAATTCTTAAAAAAATACTATCCTGTGAGTAAAACCAACCAAATGAGGAGTTATATTCTTAGCTTTGCACAAATCGATGGGGAATAACTCCATGAGACTTGGGAAAGACTTCAAGACCTCCTTAGGAAATGTCCGCACCACCTATTTCCAAAATGACAATTGGTGCAAGCTTTCTATGCTAGTTTAACCGACCCCCATAGATTCATGGTTGACTCATCATGTGGAGGGATGTTCATGTCTAAGAATGCGGATGAGACTTGGACCTTACTCGAGAATTTGAGTGAAAACTCATTGCAACATAATTCTCGTAGTGCTCCAACCTCAACTAATACAAAGAACACCAATTTATGTCAACCAAAGACACTGAGGGAAGAATCTTCTTAAGTGGATGCCATAGCTCACAAATTCTATCAATTAATGGCACCACATCTCTCTCCTTCCTTGTCTCAAAATTTGGCAAGTGCGGTGTGTGCATCATGCACTAGCCCTTTTCATCTCTTGGAAGATTACCCCACACCGGACCAATTTCCTAATAGCAACCAAGAGCAAGCAAATGCTATGTTTTCCAGGCCCGGAAATAATCCTCACTCCAATACCTACAATCCGGGATGGAGAGATCATCCGAAATTTTCGTGGAGGCAACCCGCCCCACAAAATTTGAATTTTCAAAATCAAGGGCATCAAAATCAGCCCTCTTCTCAGTTTCAAAATAGGCAATTTCAGGCTTCTTCAAGTTACCATCCACCCTATAATTCAAATGCTTATACTCCACCTCCTATATTTCCAACTGATGAGATTTTGGCAACAAACAAGCAAATGATGGAATCCTTTAACAAGCAAATTTTGGAATTTAACAAGCAAATCTTGACATCATTGCAGCCCACTCTCCAAATGGTTCATTCACATACCCAGTCACTAGCTAAACTTGAGAATCAAATAGAACAAATAGCTAATTTAGTGAACCAACTTCTTGAAAGTGAAAAGGGAAAACTTCCTGCTCGACCATTTGAGAATCCTAGAAGTATGCATGTGATTGACGAAGCCCCTCCTCCGAGTGGGACTACTCATGAACAAGTTCAAGCAATCACCACCCTTTGGAGTGCTCGAATTGTGGACAATAAGGTTGATGGAGAAAAAGATGAACAACTTCTTCCTCCCAAGAATCCAAATCCTAGCTCATCTAATCCAAATTTCACTCTTGAAAATCCAAAGTCTAGCACTGAAAATTCCAAGCTTGTGACCCCAAATGTGGAGACTTCTTATGAGACTAAGGCTCTGTTTCCTCAACGTCTCCAGGAGTTGACACATTTTGGAAACAAAAGTTGTAAAACTCAGGACATGTGGGAGGTCTTTAGGCAAGTAAAGATTAACCTTCCGCTCTTGGATGCTATCAAGCAAATCCCTCCCTATGCAAAATTTCTCAAGGATTTGTGTACTAAAAAATGCACTTCCAAGAATCATTTACCAAAGAAGGTAAGACTAACTAAAAATGTGAGTGCAATCAATCAGTACAGCACTCCTCCAAAGTATAAGGATCCGGGCGCCCCAATAATCTCGTGTGTCATTGGTGACCACAAGATAGAGAGTGCCCTCCTTGACTTAGGAGCTAGTGTGAACTTGATTCCATATTCAGTTTACTTACAACTTGGGTTGGGTGATCTTAAACCAACTCCGATAGTGTTGCAACTTACTGATAGATCTATTAAGCAACCACGGGGAATCATTGAAGAGGTTATCATAAGGGTGGATAGGTTACACTTCCCAGTAGACTTCGTAGTTCTTGATACGGAACCAGTCCATGACCCAAGAAAACACATTCCCATAATTCTCGGACGCCCCTTCCTAGCTACAGCTAATGCTTCCATTAACTATAGGACAGAATTGATAGATATCTCTTTTGGGAATATGAATGTTAAGCTCAATATCTTCAATGCTGTGCAACTTCCTACGGATGACAGTGAGTATTTTGCAGTCACTATTGCTGATGAACTCATTCAAAATCCAATCCCACCTCCTTTAATGGAGGATCACCTACAAGCTTGCTTAGTCCACTTTGATTTTGAGGATTTTAATGTGGAGAAATCCATTCGAGAAGTCAACTCTTTGCTTAATATTCCATCACACTTTCCCTCTCCTTCATGGGAAGCACCGAATCCATCTATGTCTTGGGATTTTCCATCTCCTTCCCTTTCTTCACCAAAGTTACCTCAACATTTTGATAGTGAACCACCAGATAAGGGTAAGGAGAATGTTGATAGTTTGCTGGAAATTCTTCCTGTCATTCCGGCCCAATCTATAATCATTGTCAAAGCTACTCAACCTGAGAATGAACCATTTGAGTATAAGGAGGTATGTGAGTTGGAGATTGCAAATATGAAAGGTCATGATCCACCCGTTGTTATTCAAGACAATAACATTGAAAGAGACTCCATAATCTCGAACAAGCAACACTGTTGCTTAAATCTGGAAATGAAAAAAATGAGATTACAAGAGATACTCAAATCCTCTAAGGCCAAACTTGTTTCTCTTCGGAAGGATCAATATCCCTCACCATTCATTGATCCAAGTTTGAGACCATATGAAGGAGGAAAGTTGAAAAAGGAACGTTAAGGGACCATCTCCCCGATGGATCCCGATCTCGGTACGTCTAGCTATCGATATTAAATTTAGCACTCTTGGGAAGCAATTCTTTCAACTTCCAAGCTTCCCTCTTCCAAGTTGCCTTAGCCACGAATTTTCTGGAAATTAGTTAAGTATAGCCAAAATGTGACTTTCCCTAGAATTGTCTCGAATTGCGTTTCAAAAGTCACATTCGATTTTCTTAGTCATTTTAAGGTCTTGGTACCATTTTCAGAATTTTTCAAGGTCATTTCGGTAATTTTCTCAAAAAATCCAAAAATCACTGGAAATTTGGGCCTCTAAAATATCACTTTCGCAATTGAGCTCCGATTCTCGTTCCGGGGGTTATCCACGGTGTCTAGGGTCCATAAAAGCTTAAATTTCAAATTTGAAAATTTTTCAACCCCGGCCCGGCTTCCATTAGGCCAAAAATGAAAATCACTTCAAGAGGGAGGTTTATGCCCAGGAGCTTTGTGGGCGCCCGCCAAATCCTTGCGGGAGCCTGCCAAAACAGGCATAGAGTCTAAAATTCTGCGGGCCCCGCTGTGTCTCATGGGCCCCCGCCCTGTTCCTTCATCCATGCAACGGGGAACCTCTTCACACTCCGCGGGCCCCCGCCATGCTTCGCAGCCCCACTAAAAGGCCCCAATCTAGGCCCATTTCAAATGTATAACTCTCCCTCCTCTCTCTCCTTCGACCCAACCTCTCTCTTTCTCCTTCTTCCTCTTCTTCCATCTCCTTTTC